TAACGATATAGGTGTAAGCCCTGTTGCTGGGACGTTTTGATAGTATTGATCGATTGTTTGTTGTGATGCTACTTCTCCTGGTGTGCATATGTGCCGTTTGTTTTGGATCCATTTTTTGAAATGATCCTCACGCATTTCTTCCATTGCACAGTGGCATATAGTTCCGTCAGGACGCTTTACTAGTTCATTGCATTTAACATAATATTTTCCGTACTTGTCGCCTGGTTTTTTATATCTAAGATACTGATGCTTAGTACCGACCTCAATGTCTTTATAGTACGTCGGTACTGCATCAATCATTGTTGAAATAATGAAGTGATTACTTAAGCATTTTTATTCTCAATTTGTTTTGAATAAATTCAATTTTTTAATGCATAATTTTTAAAAATTCTCTAATATACCTTAGATATAGATACATTTATTATCAATTCAAAAATTTCAATATAGTTTTGGGATGGGTAGCCCATCCCATATATTCAAATTTTCAATGATTTTGGGTTGGGATTCCCAGACCAGAATAATTTCTAATTATAATTCGTAAAAATATATGTATATCTCATTATTACATCATTTAATATATTTTTAGTTAAATAGTCACTATTTTCACAATTTTTATTATTAATTACTGAACTAAACAGGTTTCAAATAGAAAGAGTATAAAAGATAAGTGTTTTTCTACATGTGTTTCGATAAGAATTATAATAATTGATGGTTTTTACAGCCAAATTTATTTTATTATTTAAATTTCAATGAAAAAAGATAAGAATTTTTTAATAAAAATTTTTTATTAAGAATTTTTTTTGTAAAATTGACACCGGGATGACGATAGGGCTGGGATCTTATCCACCCCGTTCATTTGGGAAAATTGCAGATCTATACTTAACATTGTTCCTAAATCTTAGCCGTTAAGGCTGTTCTGAAAATATTTTTTTTTCGAAAAAATTCGAAAAAAATTCTTAAAATTCAAAAATCCCTTAATTCCTGAGGATTTTGGAAAAAAGTTTTTACATGAACATGTGTATATTATATGAAGTATATTGATAAGGTAAAAATCAAATTTTATTGCATATTCATCGAGAAAATAAACTAACGAATCCCTCAAAATTGAGAGGGTAATCCTCCTCCTCTCAAATGAACGTACATACGGGTGCACCCTTAAGTTCTGTCAACTGTGAGCCTGGTGAAAAAGTGATTGATTTAAGTGAACTCAGTTAGTATACAAGTCTTGGGTATGGTGGCACTGCGTTCCACCTTACCCAATACTTGTGAATTTGACACTTTACAAAACCGTTAACGTATATTTTACAACATGAACGCAAAAACTAACTTAACCTTAAATATTTACAAAGCCGCCAACAATTTCACCTCACTATCGTTCTCACTAACAACTTCACTAATGTTCTCATAAATTTTCCTCAATATCTTCATCATCAGTGTTAACCCTATTGTAGTCATACTTGAAGCCATAAACTTTCTCTAACTTCTTAACGTACAATTTACATAACTTACCTTCGTCATCGTATGGTTTAATGATATAACTATTTCTATCTTTATAAACAGTCAATGAAAAGTCAACTGGTCTCGGATGTATTTGAAAGAACATGTTATGCTCAGGAAGGAAGAATAAATGTTTAAATGTATGTTTGTTATATGTTTTGATTTGTATGAGTTGCTTTTGTTCTGTCATTACATCCAAATAAAATAAAAATAATTTTAAAAAATAAACTTAAAAATAAATGATATCACCACCCTCACACGTATGAAAACATAGCACAAAAATAAATTTAGGTGAAGTGGTGAGATCTAACCCGATTTCTAACCCGATTTCTAACCTCATTTCTACCCTGTTGAATTCATTGCTTTATAACTCTCTTCCTTTCTCCAACTCTTCTAACTTCTTCCTAAGTTCAGCAATGTTGTCCTCATGAAGTTTAATCTTTCTCAAAATTCCTTCTTTATCTAATGGTTGCTTTATCTTTCTAAACTGAACTCTACCATCCTTCATAGTATGAATGTAAAAACCTTCTGGAATAATTCCTGATTTAATGTATTCTACCAAAAACTTTTGTTTCATTGCTTCAGTGACTTTAGTCGTCATTTCAATCAAATAAAATTTTAATATTAAATAAAAATAACGTTATTTTTTCAGTAAGGAAACGCAGGAGTTTTACGATTTATTTGTGGTGTAGGTTCTGGTTTAAATGTTGGAGTCGGTTTTGGAGTTGACTTTTGAACAGGAGTTTGTAATTCCATAGGTTCAGGAGTCATTGAAGGTGTTGTTTGTGAAGGCGTTGGTTTTGGCGATGGTGTCGGAGTTTGTTTAACTTCAGCTACTTCAGTATTATTTACAACATTTGCTTTATTTCTTTTCAACATCATTACTGCTCCTGCTGTAGCTAGCAAACCTAGTGGGAGACCATATTTTATATAAGGACTTGACCAAATGCTATTTTTGACAGGAGCTGGTGGAACACCTAACCTTGGTGAGACTGCTCTTTGCCATTGTGCAGCTCGTAAGAAATATTCAATAGGTGCTCCATAATCGTTTGGTAAAGTTTGTTTCATAGATGGTGAAGGTTCACGAGAGCTTGATGAAGAACTCATTTATAAGCTTTAAAAATAAACGTTCATCCTTTATTCCTCACTGTCGTCCGTAGCTAAGTTATAGTCATCTAATCTTATTATGGGGATGCCATTAGCACGCACCTGAATGGCAAAGCAACAATCCCTCATAAATCCAATAAGTGGCTTTGGTACGTTTTCAGTTGCTAGTTCAATAGGTCCTTTAACAGACAATTTGTATGTTATTGGAGCAGTAGATGTTTGACCTTGCTGGAAGCAAAAGTCCACTTCAGTTGGAAAACCACATAAGAAATGTGTGTTGTCATAGCTATCCCATTTATGTTCCACACTACCATCATCCACCAATGACCTCATAACATCTTCATTAAATCCTATCATATCATTGTTTGTATTGCAAGCGTTCGCAACCATTTCATAAAATACAGGTCCATATGATTTTTCAGGTTCTGCAGGCATATTTCCATAAGCTCCCATGGAAAGCTGAAGATATTTAAACTTAGGGTTCTCAAAATTAACATAATAGTTGTCTTTCTTTCTAAATAGTGCCCAAATACTTTTAACATTAATAGGCGTATAAGCTGCTGTAAATGTTGCACTTGAACTATCTGTATTCTTTGAGAATGAACCGTCCATAGGAATCCAATCCATAACTTTAACAGGAAAACATAAAGCCTCGTTTGTATAATGTTCTACAAGTTCTGTATAAATGTTAGGGTCTAAAGAGAATGACTTTGGATGAATGAAACATTCATTAAAATCCATCTTTGTTCGAAATAGTTGCTGGTTTACAGTTGTAATAGTAACTGTTCCACTAGCTTCTCCTGACTTCGTTATCATAGTGAATGGTTCATTCCATGGAACAAATTTATTTGTCGGTGGATTTGAATCTGAAGCAAATGCAACTTTAAGAGTTGGATTGAAAGCAACGATATCATTTACAGATATAGATGTGCATTGTAAGGCGTCGCTACTGAACTTTACTTTAAGCTGAATGTTTCCTGCAAAAGCTGGAATAAATCGAATAGCTTCTAATGGAAGGAATCTTCTAACAGGAATTCTTAAACGAAGCTTAAATCAAATGATTTTCCTGCTGTAATTGGACCACTAACAATTTGTCCTGTTCTGCATGTTCCCGAATGACTCCATACATCTTCATGTCGAGTCTTTGAGAAAACATCTACTTTCTTTATTTGTTCGGTAGTTTGTGAGTTTGAAGTTATATATGCTTCTTCTCTTGCGTTGTCTTGAGAATATACGATACGACCATTTGCAAGGATTTGATATCCAGCAACTGCATAGAAAGCGTCATCGAAACCAATCCAAAATCCTGGTGGGTTTGTTTTATTGGAACCTGAACCAATTTCTTTATCTACAATAAATTGACCTTCCATTTTATACGTAATGAATGTATTGTAAAGGTCCAACATATTTTCACCAGGAGGTGAGAGATTGAATGTTACCCATGTGTTATCTTTAGCAGTTCCAGGTTGTGATGGAATCTTTGCGTCAGAATATTTTCTATTAGTGTCACCAATTTGAACTGCATTGTCTATGATATCGAAATATGAGCGAATCTGATGAATATGCTCTGCTGGAGTAAATTCGTTTAGCTGTTCGTTCTGCATGTATTTACTTCAGATAAAAATATCTATTTACTTCATTATTCTCACTCTTCTTCTTGGCATTCGTGGTGGAAGTTGTTTCTTGACATTTTCAATGAACTGTACATTCTCTTTTGTCTCAACTTCTTTCACTGGCGGGTCAGGGTTCTTTGACTCGGTTTGTTTTTCAATGAAATTCACGAACTTTGCAATAAGCTCTTGGTTCGTTATTGAAAGTACATCTGGCTTCTTTTCTTCTGGTTCTTTTGGTGGCTCAGTTTGAACAGAAGGTTTTATATGGGCTTCGTGGACTTCACCCTTGCCATGCACCTTAATGTTGTCGCTTTCTGCATTCGCTAATGGAACCTTTCTTTTTCTTACATATATTTTACCATCTTTACTCTGACTTACGTAATAGAAAGGATGTTGTATTCCTCTGGCGTCATTTAATATAATAGACTCTCGTTCTGATTTTGACAAGCTCATTTTACATCGGTTAAAGTTTTAATTTTGTTTTTTATCTGCAGTCAAATGACTCAGACAAGTCCTACGGACAAGACCCAAGGAGTCATAGATGTTGAAGCATTGAAGAAAGAAATTCGCGAGCAAATTTTATCCGAACTGAAGGAACAAAAACAAGAACAAAAGCCAGAGAGACCAAAGAGAAAACTTAGTGAAAAACAACTAGCTGCATTAGCTGCTGGAAGACAAAAGAACCCACGTTTGCTGGCGAAGAAAGCTAGAGAAGAAGCTGAAGCAAAAGCTAAAGAAGCTGAAGCAAAGAAAGAGTAAATGGTTTATTTTTATCCGAATTAAATGTATAGACAAATACCTTTATCTGTTGCGTTCAGTAGTGAAAACCCTGACGTCAAAATAAAGGGGAACAGAGTAACGTTTAAGTTTCCAACAGACTGGATTGTGAACATAAATGAAGAGAAGTACATTGGCATAACATCTATGTATATAACACGTGCTTTCAGAAAGGTTGACTTTATACTTCAAGTCGAGATAGAAAATGACGAACAGTCTTTAAGCGCCCAAAACATTCACATATACAAATACTTTAAAGACGATACAACATTGTTGCAATGTATGATTTCATTTAATGAAATGTTCGAGAAAAAGTTTAACATTGAAGTACAAACTTTACAGCCTTTACGTGAGTTTCTTGCACAACTGAAAGAAGAAGGTAGTCAGCCACAACTTATAGACTTTCATTATGAATTTAATGAAAATGAAGATGGAACTCATGACTGTCAGTTTGTTGTATTCTCACCATTCAATGAAGTAGCTAAAGAGAAAGAAAATCCATTACGTATAAGATTTCAAATCTCTGAACCAAGTGATGATTTCAAGAATGTTTTCAATTATGATGCAATGCTTCCGAGGAAAAATGAATTTTCAAAGATTGTAACACCTGGCATTTGGGATAGAAAGCAAGCTATATTATATTCAAACTTAAGTAAGGGAGTTGAAAATGAGTTCATTGGTCATACAAGAACTACACCACTTCCTAACCCTAAATACTATAAATTAACTGGCTTCAATCGTGAGTTTTGGATAGACATGTTCTCCACTCATGACCATAACTGCCCAGTGTTCTTACCTCCAGACCATAAGGACTGTCTCTACATTGAAGCACAACTCTTAAACTCTACCATCGCAGTATTGTAAATGACCACATGGGCTTCGCCCTTGCCGCTAGCGGCTTATTTTTATCATGAATGACCTCATTGCTGACAAAAATAAATGACCTCATTCATGACCTCATTGCTGACCTCATTCATGACCTCATTGCTGACAAAAATAAATGACCTCAGAACTTCAACTTACGAATAAAGCTTGTTTTAGTCGTTATTGAGAAGTTAAACTTTTCAGCAAAGCAAGGACTAGAAGACTTACATAAGTCAAATCCAATCTCTTGACCGTCATAAAGTGCTTTATAAAGTTTCATGACACTGAACTCAGAGTCTTTGTCAAATTTTCCTTGCGGAACCATTAAACCTTTATCTTCATTGTAATAGCATTGTATAGCTTCAGGAAACATTTCATTAGCGGTTAAAGCAATAACATCTTGCTTCACGCCTTTCATTCTGCAGTGAAATGCAACTTCATTTAAATCGTTAGTGAGTAAGTCTATGTAAGTCTTCTTTCCACAAAATATTGACTTGTATGCTAAACTTTGTTTTCCAGGTGTTATTTCTGCGAAGTCACTATGAAACTGACCAAGGTTTTTACCAATAAGTTCTCTACCGTATCTCTTCTTAAATTCATGAGCTAAACGTGGTATGTCTTCATTGTAAATGTGCATCGAATCTGTATCCTGATAAAATGCTTTTAATCCTAAGTCTTCAATCGTGCAAAACACTTCATTCATAATACGTTTTGACATTGATAGAATATTTACACCAAGTGGGCAAAAGTTAAAGTGTCTGCAAATGCTTTTCGTTAGCTTGAAAATAGTTTTATCTGAACCATCCAAACCTTCGAACTTCACTATATGGTTGTAGTTTCTGATGGCATATCTTATAGCATCTTTGTCATCTACTATGGTTATTTTTGACTCAATAGGAGATAGAATAGTTTTGCCATAAATGCTGTTCAGAATGAGTTTTATAATTTCTTGTAATGGGTTTTCTTCTTTCTTATACTTTAACCTTAACTCAAACAACTTCTTTACTTCATCTCTTATTCTAATATCTCTGTTTCCATCGTAATAGTATCCTTGCAACACTTCACATTTGACACCTTGATATTTTATGAGGTCTTGTAATGTTATATGGTCAACATACATTAAACAGCAAGTGTTTGAACTTCTGGGAACGTTAAGTTCTGGATTTAGTTCAGGGTCACAAACTATTAAAGGAAAGTGTCTATGTATTCCAATCTCTGTTATCTTAATGAGAACAAAGAAGCCAGACATAAACTTTTCACCAATGGGTTCCTTTTGGTCGTCATCGAATAAATGTCTCATGAGATACTCTGTGCTTAACATCTCATCCTTCAATACTTTTGGAATTCCTTCTAAAGTATAAAGTCTTGCTATAGCTGATGGATATAATGAAACAGCGTCGAAGTCAGCAATGAGTTTCTTTTTGCTCTTTTGTTTAATGTTATCTGACAACATACATCTTCCACCTTGAATGCATCTCGAAATAAATTCTCTTGGTTTATTTGAGAGGTCATAAAGATTTCCATTCGGGAAGTACACTCTGTTCTCAAACAATTTGTTAGCAATAGAACAAATACTAACGTAGTCATAAACGTTTAAATCAAACTCTTTCAATATATCATTGCGGAACTTTACAAAACCTTCTCTTAAAATTCTTACATCTTGTTTGCAGTAAAACGTGCTATATTTTTCTAAGTCGAAGTGGTTTTCATCTATTCTGCAACCTTTGATGGAATCTATGTTCTTCATGAACGTTTCAATATCTTTTACAAACTTACATGCTTCAGAAATGACACCAGTTCTGTTGTCATTTGCTAACAAAACACTGCTGTAGTAGTTATATGGAAATACTTCTTTCGGTCCTGTTTGTAAGTTAAACATAGCAGGAAATAGTTTAAGCTTCTTATTTATAACACTGTAAGAGTCTTTTATAATAATTGCCCTTCCTTTATATAAGCCAGTTATTTGCATTGTTCGTGAACCTTTAATGATGGGAGTTCCTTTCACTTCTGTCATGTGTCTTAAGATGAAGTTTATGTCATAGCTGAGGTTATGGAAATATATTAAACTCTTGTCAGGAAGTCGCTCCAAAAATTCTGTTGCACAGTTTTGACCCCATATGCTTTCACTCACTGAACCATCTTCACTGTCATAACAGATGTTAAAAGCTTTATGAAAGCCATCGGTACTACACTCAAAGTCAGCAAAGAAAACATGCTCAGGAATGAACTTGCACTTATTTTTATTTACTTCTTTTGACTCTGCTTTCTTCTTCAGTTGTACACAATACTTTGGAGCATATGTCAAATCTTTAAATGGTGCAAGGTTCTGTTATATAAGTCAGTCGTATATGTGAAAAGTTCTCCATAAGAAATAGGTTCGAAATATTTGCACTCCCACAATGTTTTCATAACATCCCATAGCGGTGTAGTTCTATCCATGCGAACAATGTATTTATCATCTCTCATTGTATATATTTTCATCTGTTTTTCAATGTTCATTCCACCACACTCCTTCAAGATTTCTATATAGTTGCGAATGAAATATGTTGTCATTGGTAATCTTTCGTTTAGCATGTAGTGGTCTTCAACAAGAAGTAAGTCAATAGTTCGAACAGTTTTACATTCTTTTGGTATGTATCTCTTTATTTCATTATGTCTTGAGTCATTGAAATAACCAATGGTAACATTGAATGCTATACCTGTTGAATCGGAAATTTCTTGTACTTTACTTTGAGGAAAGTCTCTAACACGAATGACTTCTCTCATGTGGTCAATAGTTTCTTCATTTACTCCAGCCTGAATGCAAGCATAAACGAAACAATTGTCCTCTGTCATAAGTGTTGCAGTTCTTTTGTTCAGTTCATTGAAGATTTGGTAGCGTTCAAGATTTATAGGTAATGTGCAAAGATACTTCCAGAACTGACCGCTTCTCTTCTTATAAAACTTCTTTTCACCAAGGATTTCATTCCAGAAGTCATCTATATCTTGTTTATCTCCTGTTTGTTTAAGTCTGTTCAATAATCTTTTCTGTCTTTCTGTCAGTATGCTTTCATCTCTATATGGTCGCTTCTGTGGCTTTCCTTTCTTAACATCTGACATCGTTAAGCCTTCATATTCAGTTAAATCATACATCTTTATTTCAGTAAGATTCTTTATGTTTGTCAAGAAGAAGTCATAGTGCATTTCAACAATACCTGCAGCATTTGCTTCTATCTCTGATATAAAGTTCTCCTTCAAGAGCTGATGTAGTAATGTTCCAATATTATTGAGGTTTAACGTAGAACATTCATACTTTCCACCAAGTTTATAACATACCATCCATCTCTGTTGTGAGTTTATTTTAATCTTCTCTAAGAGTCTCATGAAAACCTTACCGAAATGTTTGTGTAAGTAGTCTCTGTTTGGTTCATCTAAAGCTTCGATGTTAAAGTCAATGAGTCTATTGCCTGACTTCACATTTCTCTTCCTATTCTCTTCATCTTTCTTTAACCATCTCTCACCTTCTTTTGGTTTGTCGTCAATGGAACGAATGACATCGTTAGCTTTGCGAACTTGTTCTATAGCACTTTTAAACATCTCTCTTCTCTGTTGTTTCAGTGTGTCGTCTCTTCTTCTTGTTTCACCAACGTTTGCATTTGTTATGTCAAACATTTCTCTTCTTACTTCATGAGGTACTGAACGTCTATGATATAAGTCAATAGCAACGTCATTTAAAGGAAATGCTCTTGCATGGACTTCGTCCTCGCCGCGTTGCGGCTTTATGAACTCATGAATTCTATCATAACTTATTGCACTATTATAGTCATTGAGGATGTCAGCGAGTGCTTTTTTGTTTGTCGCGTAATGTTTTGCAACATCTATGTTAGCTTCTGTAAGAAGTTGTTTTATTTCCGAGTGTTCTAACTTAGACAACTTCCGATACATCTTTAGTAGGAAATAAAAAAATATTTTTTTAAAAAAATTAGCTTAGATTTTTTTAAGTTATTTTTCAAAATAATTTAATATTTTTATTATAATGAAACACATGCAAGATTGCAAGTTCTTTTCATACAATGCTCTCGCTAATGCCATCAAGAATGAGTTCAATGGTGCTGCAAACGTTAATGTTATCTTTAACAAGAAGTTTGTGAAAGAATCTAAGTTCGGTCAGTATGTCAGACCATTAGCTATCGTCATTGACCGCAAACGTTATACTTCACAAGAGTTAGCAGTAGTTTTGAAACAAAAGTTTCTTCGTGAATGTCAAAGATACTCATTATACTGTTATAAAGAACTCTAACATTGACTTTTCAGTATTGTTATGAATCTTTCCGAACAGAAAGAATATAAGAAGGGTGAAACAAATGTGAAATATTATCCTTCATCTCTGAAGACAATAACGAACAAAGATGTATACAAAAGTTCTTACCAAAGGTTGAAGAAGCTTTCTATTGACATTGACGAAGGAAGTGAAATGGTTGAAGAAATTGACCCTGACGTTATTGAAACAAAAATATATTTTTGAAGAACTGAAGGTGTCACCACGTCACCATGTGCTACCAGGTTAATTAACTTCTTTTAAAAATGATGACAACATGACATTTTGACAACAGTCCAGGAAATAAATTTTATCGTTAATGTTTACGTTAATGTTTTTCATTAAATTTTGACAAAGTGCAAATCTTCACTTCGTCAAAAAGTTAATGTTTTTTCATTGAAATCGGTAAGTTTTCATTAAATTTTGACAAAGTGCAAATCTTCACTTCGTCAAAAAGTTAATGTTTTTCATTAAATTTTGACAAAGTGCAAATCTTCACTTCGTCAAAAAGTTAATGTTTTTTCATTAAATTTTGACAAAGTGCAAATCTTCACTTCGTCAAAAAGTTAATGTTTTTCATTGAAATCGGTAAGTTTTCATTCTTCCTCTTTGAAGTTGTCGAAATATTCTGTTATCTTTTCTTTCAGTAATGTTAAGTCTTCTTTAAATGTAAGTATTGTGCAACCTTTGATGTCATAGTGTGTTTGAGGAAGAGTATTTTTGACAATTTCCTTTATTTGCTCATTCGGTGTCATTGAAATCGGTAAGTTTTCACGATAGAACCAGTTTCTGTCAGATTTATATATCTTAGCTAAGTCATAAAAGCTCTTGTTGTTTCTCTCACTAAATGCAACATAACCATATCTCTATCTTCTTCTTTCTCCAACTCTTCAGCGTAAATCATATACTTATAGCTTTTTTCCTTTCCTTTTGGTACTGAACGTGGTATTCTTTTCTGTATGCTTTTGTCTTTGGATTCAATGACTTCATCTTTTGCTTGAAGTTTCTTTTCCATCTCTCCACGTTCTGCTTTATATAGTTCATCTAACATCATGAAAATATAACAAGCATAACGAGGTGAAGCCCACATTGCTACAGCATTTACTAAAAGTCTATGAACATAATAACCTTTCAAACCAGGAGCCAAATTCTTGCGATTTTCGTACGGAATCTCTTCCCTCGGTTTTCCGAGGGAAGCAATCATATGAGGAAATTCTTCTAAAAGTTCTTTTGCCTGTTGGTTTTCAAACCAATGATATGCTTGCTTTGTAGAACAAAGAGCATTCATTATACTTTGCATTTGGTACATGTCATCTTTGACCGAACGAATGAGACGTAACTGTTTGTTATACTGTATGTACTCGTATTCTTCATTTATGGCTTCATGAACGATAGCAGTTGTTGTGTTCTCTAATGTTGACATTACTGTCTTTACATACAAAATAAAAAAATAAATAAAAATAAAACTAACTTTATTTTTCTGTGTTAAAGAAATGTTAAAAATTCATGGTTACATATGTGAAAAGAAGTCACGAACAAATGAAGGTCATAAGATTCAGCACATAATTCTGAATTGAATGGTGTGTCATACATGTCAAACCGTCAAGAATTGAAGGAGATACGAGGCTATAAAAATTTTGGATATTTTCTGACACACACCCTGAGGGAAAAGTGACAAAACACGACGATATAAAAAGTGACAAAATGAGAGAAAGTTGTCCCCCGACCAAAAATGCAATCATGTTGAAAAAGTGACATTTGTAAAGTTGGACGATAGGATTTCCTGAAAAAGTGCAAGTCTTGTTCTGAATCAGGACAAGATTTGTCTTGAAAAAATACAAGACTTGTTCTGAAAAAATACAAGACTTGTTCTGAAAAAATACAAGACTTGTCTTGAATCAGGACAATTGTTCTCAAATTTGAGAACTTTACAAGAAAAACTGACTAAAAAGTGCAAGTCTTGTTCTGAATCAGGACAAGATTTGTCTTGAAAAAATACAAGACTTGTTCTGAAAAAATACAAGACTTGTCTTGAATCAGGACAAAACTTTACAAAATGTAAACTTTACATAACCGTTTCTATCGTACATGATATTTAGTTGACATTGTAAACTATCTTCATGTAAAGTATGGCGGTTTGAAACCGTCGGGAACCTTCACTTTTTTGACGAACTTTCCGCAGCAATTTTTAAAATTTGTGAAAACTCAACGGTTTGACACGTGCCATATGTCATTTTACTCAGAATTTTGTGCTGAATTCAGCAAAAATAATTTTTAGGGTAGATGGGTATATCTAACCTAATTTCTACCACGAATTCTACCCTCATTATTTATAACCGTTTTACATGGTAAACGTTATTTTTGGAATTTTGTGAAAACTCAACGGTTTGACACATGCCATATGCCATTTTACTCAGAATCTCACGAATTCAGCAAAAAATAAATGGTTCATTTACTCACAATATTTTTGTACAAAACGACCCCAAACTTTTAACTTCTTTTCTGCAGTTTCTAATGCTATCTTAGCGAGTTCATATTCTCTAAATTCTTTCTTTAAATCTTCTTGTTCCCATTGGTCTAGTTCGTATGGAGAATCTCTATAATCATAACATATCTCACGTTCATGTTCTAATTGTTTTTCATGCATTTTTCTAACTTCTTGTTCGAACAAAGGTTTAGCATTCTCTACTGTATCTTCGAGTTCTTCTTCATCTAACTTCTCATGAACTTTCTTGTCTATGGAATCCATAATTTTTCCAACTGCTATGCAATATTTTGGAGAAGCCCACATTGCTATATAGTTTATAAGTCTTGGGTCTACATACGTTCCTCTAACCTGTTTGATTTCATCAGGAATTCCTGCATGAATTTTGTATAAAAAGCAACCGCCGGAATTCGGACTGTTGCTATATTCTTCACAAAATGCCTTATAATACTCTTCCCAGGACTTATTTTCCAACAACTTTCTAAAGTCTTTCCTAAACTGCTGACACATATTTGTTGCATTAATGTAACCATCCTTGTCTCTACGTAAGACTTCAATACCGTTATAAGTGCATTTTGTGAATGTTTCGCCATTATATTTGTTAGTGAATGTTTTTGCTTCGACTGACATTTCTGTTCTTACATACAAAATAAAAAAATAAATAAAAATAAAACTAACTTTATTTTTTCTATCTTAAGGAAATTCATGAAAATTCATGAGGTTAGATATACCCATCTACCCTAAAAATTATTTTTGTTCATGGGCTATGTCCCGCCGCTTTGCGTCTTTATGTTAAAATAAATGGTACCATTAATGATATCATGACTGTTCTCATTCATGTCTGATTTACATCTAATGAAAAAGTTTAGAAGAATTTTCTTATTCTTTCTGGCATATTTTTGTCTTTCCAGTACTCCCGCTCTAATGGTCCCAGATGTGTTGGCTTCGACTCTCTCAAGTTCTTAGATGGTATACTATAACATCTTCAACGCCTCCTTCATATCTTACTTTATAAGTGTCATCGTTTATGTTATAGCCAAGTATTTCAATAACCACTCCTCGCTTTGCTTCGTCAATGGTTTCAGCAAGTTTGCCATTACTACTTTCGACTAATTTATGACGAGGGTAAAATGCTATGGAGTCGTCAGCAGCTTTTATAAGATATCCATTACCTTGCGTAGAGTCTACGATATAATAATTTCGACTTAACCTTAAACGTTTCTTTGTCAACGGTTTGTCGTCAAGAACTACACGAACTTTTGTACCAGGAATGAGGGTAAATTGTGTTGAATTTCTGATATTTTGTGTTTGGCTTCGTTTCTTTTGTATATACTTTTCTTCTTGTTGTTGTGTCATTGAATTTGGTGTATGTCCTGTTGTAGAATGTGTTGAGGAATTATATACTTCGAGAAAATGTTTCATTGTTTCTTCGGTAAAGTCTCGCTCTTGATTTAAATCTCTGAGAGTCCTTATGAAGCGGTTTATGATGCCGAGTATGTTATGGTTATGGTCTTCAGTAGTGTAGTGAGTTATGTTATGCTTAATGAAAATCTGTGATTTCGTTGCTGAGGTATGCTGTCTGGTCTGATGTTAAAGTACTTGGGTTATGTTCTGCTACAAACTTTTGTAAAACTCTTAACACTTCACGAGTTCCTTTATTTTTCATTGGATATGCATATGCTTTACGAGTGTTAACATTTATGAAGATGAGGAATGGTTTATGTCCTCCTTTTCTGCTTTGAATGAGAGTGTCAAATTGGTATGCGTCAGGAGTGTTGGAGTAAATTGGTAAAAAGTAGTCGTAAGGGATTTATTTTTGTTTGATGTACAACATTTTGTTAAAGAACCTTTTCACTTCAGCTCTGTTAGTAAATCCCGAACTCTTTGCAGCTTCATTGAATTTCTTAAAGACCTCCATGGATGTTGTTCGAATACTTCTTTCAAGCTCATTTATGTAAAGTTAAAGAGTTTAACCAACTCGTATCCAAGCGTGCATTGTTATATAAGGAGGCATATAATCTTTTCCATTACCTGCTGGGTCTGTAATACCAGCTACAACATGTGTATGATTTCCTGCAGTTCCACAGAAAATACCTGTGCTAACATCTTTGGGGTCATCTGAGATATCATATCTGTTCATTCCCTGTCTATTCGAACCCGCTGCAAGATTTATATAACCTCTTT